ACGATGGTGGAGAGGCCGATCTAGATCTTGGCAATTATGAACGCTTCCTTGACATCACTCTTTCGTCCGCACACAATATCACTTCTGGAAAAGTCTACGAGAAAGTCATCAAGTGAGTGAATCGTTCATGACGATAACTGTTCGAATGGTGATTCTCTAGACGCGAGAGGACGGGAGACTACCTTGGAAAAACTGTTCAAATGGTTCCCCATGTTACTGATGCCATCCAAGACTGGATCCTCCAGGTCGCGGCTCAGCCCACTACCAAGTACATTTCCAAGGGGTTCTTGCAGGATGTATTGCTTTGTGTAGGACCCCTGGTGCTCCTCATATCTGCCTCATCGAGTTGGGTGGTACTGTTGGAGATATCGAGAGTGCGGTATATTTAGAAGCTCTTCAGCAGTTCCAGCATCGTAAGTCTACAGGTATATGATCATTGTTGGAATGCATGTTTTGGTTTCCAAAGCTATATATAGCTTAAATCTTCACACGGCTTGGGATAGAAATGTACGAAAACCAACAGAAAGTTACCAAAATTCCTTCGAAATTCCCTCATTGTCACCAACATGTGTAGCCGATCTATGCTTAATTTTCATGCTGTCTGTGAAATTGGTGAAGACTGAATGGTGTTCTATTGTAGGCGCTGGCATCGAGAATGTGTGCATGATTCATGTTGGACTCGTACCCGTGATGGGTGTCGTTGGCGAACAGAAGACTAAGTATTAGAGCCGTAGTCTCACCCGTAATGCCAATGTTAGCATCCTAGGCCCTGCCAGCACTCTGTCAAACTTCTTCGGGAGGCCGGAATCAAACCCGACTTCCTTTTCTGTCGCTCAGAGCAGCCCCTCCATGATGAGACTCGGTAAGCGATCGATCGTTTGCATTTCTTTTGACTGGAGTTTTGTTCAGGGCTAAGCTTGCACTCTTCTGCCAGACTCCTGAGGACCATGTGATCAGTCTTCATGACGTCGCCAATGTCTATAAGGTGAGCTTCCCTTTAAGCGTTTCTATTAGTTTGGCAAACCTTGGCGGTGCGCATAGCCGGTACGTCCACTACTAGGTCCCGTTGATGCTGGACGAGCAGAATGTGGGCAAGCTGGTGTTGGAGCGCCTCCATCTCGACGTTCATGGGCCGGCCAAAGCCACTAGGCACAGCTTGCTCCCGTCCCCGGCTATCAACACAACCACTGTAGAGTCATGTGCTCCGGCCAACTTGACTGATTGGAGAGCACTGGCTGAGAAGGCAGAGAAGATCAGTGAAGATGTAAGTCGTGTCGTATCGCGTATACAGGTGCTTCTACAATATCTCTATCAGGTGGTGATAGGCGTCGTTGGGAAGTACACGGGTCTCCAGGATTCGTATCTCTCCGTTATCAAGTCGCTTAAGCATGCCTCAATCGATGCAGGCTCTCGTCTGGTACGTGTCAGTGATGTTCTTGATAGTTGTTAGCTGTATAGTATTAAGGTTATTGAGTGGATAGAAGCCTCCGACTTGGAGCCTCACCAACGTACGCACGCTCCTGAGCGTTATGACTCTGCATGGAAGCGTCTGAAGGCATGTGATGGTATCCTTTGCCCTGGTGGTTTTGGTGACCGCGGTATTGAAGGCAAAGCCCTTTGCGCGAGGTGAGGTATAGTGGCTGTCCCATGTGTCGAGGTCGACTTGGCAGATACTGCCGTGAGACCAACACGCCTTACTTTGGTATTTGTTTGGGCTTGCAAACTGCTGTAATATCTTACTGTCGTGATGTACTTGGTTTTGAGGATGCTAACTCGGCCGAGTTCGACCCTTCGGCCGAAACTCAATGTTGCGTGTCATGCCTGAGTCTCGACGCAGTCATGGGAGGTGGGACTCGCCT